TCACAATGACGTCAGACAACTTCCTTTTTGACTCGATGCAGTGAATCATTACTTTCGCGTCTATTCTATCTCGGGAGACTTGTCTGGAAACTTCACGGAATTTCATTCATTCAACCTTTATTTACAGAGGTTATATTACAAGATATAGCGCAAGGTAAGGTTAATAAAAACAGTATTTATGTGTTTGTTAGCTGTGGTAACGTTATCCATCATTGCAGCAACTTTAGCCACAGTAGCTAAAATATACAACACGGCCTGTCAGTGCTCTAACGTTTAAAGGTTTTACTAGCTATACTAACGTTAATAAAAACAGTATTTATGTGTTAGTTAGCTGTGGTAACGTTATCCATCATTATCAATTTACCATTCTGTAACTGTGTAAGGAAACAGCCTCCAATTTTAAAGTAAGCTAGCTAGCTAGCAGCAACGGGTAGCTAAAATATACACTGCTGCTGCCTGTCAGTGCTGTAACATTAAAATGTTTAATTTATCTATTAATGTAAAATCTCTGACATCGTCCAACACTGTTGTTTAGAATAGCATTTTAAATATTGAATTAAAAACTATGTCAAACCATTTCCATGTTCTGATGATTAATAATTTCTCTTTTTACTTTCTTCTTGTGTCCATCTTTCTCAGCAGCAACTCACCTAACCAGCATGACACAGTCATCAAGATGTTGTTATTGCAGTGTGCCATGTTGTTCCAATAATAAACAAAAAACACCTTATTTGAGTTTCCACAATTTTCCCGTGGACAAAGAAATAGGTTCCTGTTGGGTGAGAGCGATCAGGAGAGATGAAGGGCCAACTTTTAAAATCCTTCGTGGGAGCACCCATGCAGTCTGCACTTTGCCCCAGAAGATCTAAATTCATCAGCCAGTGGAAGATCCTGGATCAGACAATGAGCAGTGCCATTTAGATTTTGCTGGAATAATTGGGGTAAATGGAGGGAGGACAATTCAATTCAATTCAGTTTATTTATATAGCGCCAAATCACAACAAATTTGTCTCAGGGCACTTTACAGAAACATTCACATACATAAAAGCCAATTAGTAGTTCTCTATCTAAGGAATCCAGCAGACAAGATGAATCTTGGCTTCGATGCAGTCTCCCATCCTGAGCAAGCACAGTGGCAACAGTGGAAAGGAAAAACTCCCTTTTAAAGGGAAGAAACCTCCAGCAGAACCAGGCTCAGGACAAGCGGCCATCTGCTTTGACCGGCTGGTTGAGAGGACAGGGAGGAGAGACACAAGAACACAGAATGGTAGGTCCAGGTATATTAGAAAGACAAAAAAACACGTTAAGGATAGAAAAAATAATTACAAATACAAAACAGGTTGAGCAGAGTAAGTAAAGACAGAAGTAGAGTGAAAATTGTGGTCAGTTTGTCCTCCAGCAGTCTAAGCCTATAGCAGCATAACTAAGGGACAGCTCAGGAAACCCAAGCCGACCCTAACTATAGGATTTAGCAAAAAGGAAAGTCTTAAGCCTAGTTTTAAAACTGGATAATGTGTCAGCCTCATGGACAGAGACTGACAGTTGGTTCCACAAGAGAGGAGCCTGATAACTAAAAGATCTGCCTCCCATTCTGTTTTTGTAAATTCTAGGAACCACAAGTAAACCTGCAGTCTGAGAGCGAAGCGCTCTGTTAGGAAAATATGGAACAATAAGATCTGTAATATAAGATGGAGCCAGGTTGTTGAGAGCTTTCTTACTTCTAACCAGTAAGATTTTGAAATCTATTCTGGATTTGACAGGGAGCCAATGAGAGAAACTAAAACTGGAGAAATATGATCTCTCCTACCTACTCTGGTTAAGACTCTAGCAGCAGCATTTTGGATCAACTGAAGACGTTTTAAAGACGTATTTGGACATCCAGATAATAAACCATTGCAATAGTCCAGTCTAGACGTGACAAATGCATGGACCAGTTTTTCTGCATCATTTTTAGACAAGATGTTTCTAATTTTAGTGATATTACGCAGATGGAAGAAGGCAGTTCTAGTAACGTTTTTAATGTGGGGGATAAAAAACATGTCCTGATCAAAAATAACGCCAAGATTTTTAACATTAGAGCTGGAGGACAGATTAATGCCATCTAAGGAGGGAGAAAGACTGAAAAATTCATTCCTAAGGTGCTCAGGTCCAAAAACCAAAACCTCAGTTTTGTCTATGTTCAACAGGAGAAAATTAAGAGTCATCCAGATTTTTATGTCTTGAAGACATGCTTGTAGTCTAAGTAGCTGATATGATTCATTGGGTTTAATGGACAAATATAATTGTGTGTCATCAGCATAACAATGGAAATTTATCCCATGCTGTTTAATAACTTTACCTAATGGAAGCATATATAAAGTAAAGAATATTGGCCCAAGCACTGAGCCCTGAGGAACTCCATGACTAACTTTGGTGTATGAAGAAGATTTATTATTTACATTTACAAACTGGAATCTATCAGATAGATATGATTTAAACCACTTTAGAGCCGTTCCTATAATCCCAATATCATATTCAAACCTCTGTAGTAAAATATTGTGATCAACTGTATCAAATGCAGCACTGAGGTCTAACAGGACCAGTATAGACACAAGTCCATTGTCTGAGGCCATGAGAATATCATTAGTGACTTTTACTAGTGCTGTTTCTGTGCTATGATGAGCTCTAAACCCTGACTGAAACTCTTCAAACAGATTATTTCTTTGTAGATGTTCACGCAACTGACCTGCAACTATTTTCTCTAGAATTTTTGAGATGAAAGTTAGATTAGATATAGGTCTATAGTTGGCCAGAATTTCTGAATCAAGATCAGACTTTTTAAGTAAAGGTTTAATTACAGCAACCTTAAAACGCTGTGGTACATAACCATCCATTAAAGACAAATTAAGTAGATTCAAAATGTGGATATTAATAGGCTCTGTGCACATGCGTCCTGAATCACTTCCGCTTTGACCGGATGTCGGCATTCCAGTTTCCGGTTTAATTCCTGTATCCTGTCATCCCAGAGATAAACAACTAAAATGAGTGTTGCTGCGTCAAATAAACAAAAATATAACGTGCGTGGCAGCTTTACATTTCAGCCGACGGTGTTTGGGTCTAAGGAGCACTGTTGTGTGCCGCTTTGCTCGTCTTCAGGTCGCTATAATAGCCGTTTGAGCTTTCACCGTTTCCCTAAGGAGACAAGCCTTCGTTTGTGCTGGCTGCAAAAAATCAGAAGAGAGGGATTTACGGTAACTCCTCACACCAAGGTATGTAGCCGACATTTCCTGGAGAATGAAGTAATTACTACAGAAAAGGGAAGACGAATTTTAGCAGCTGGGTCGGTTCCATCATTATTTGAGTGGAACAAATACAGCAGGAAGACACGAGCAGGTGTTTGGGAGCGCCGTTGTCGACCATCTAATCCAGAACCTGATTCGGCGGATCCAATTGAGGACAATGAACCACCCGTCATGGTACCTATGGTCGTGGACCATGACTACGGCGCCAGCAGAACCGTGTGTGTTGACCGGGAGCAATATCACAGCATGCTGAGAGAAATTGAGCAACTGAAAGAGCAGCTCCGATCCTGTATTCTTCAAAAGCCGTTTGGACTGGAACATTTTTCTACGTCACCAGAAGACATCAGATTTTACACCAGGTCAGAGTTGTAAAATCTAAATATTACGTTATGCCTCTGTGTAAACTAATGTCAAATACAAATACAGCAGCTAGTGACAGCCTCAGGTCGGTGAAAATAGTTGGTTTCTGTGATTAGATGACACACAGGCTGACTATTATGCCATTAGCAATCATCAGGAAACTTATGAAAACTAGAAGTTACTCTCTGATTTAAGGGGGCTGAACATTTGTGCTCAAAATAGTTTTCAATTTATAAAAAAATTACAAACCTTCAAATCATGTATAATTTTCTTTCCACTTTACAACATAAAATTTCAAAGAAAGATATTTATGTTCTTAGTTGTACCGTGTCAAAATTTGAAAACTGTTTTCACAGTTATAAATGTGGAGAGTGACAGTTTATATATATATATA